CTTTTTTCGTAAATGGATTTTTTACACAGGTGATGAGAAAACTCAAACTTATTCAGAAGAAGTTGTTATCGTGATCTAACACGAAATTCTCATGACTAATTTACAAGAAAATGTGTAACATCTAGAGGGGAAAATTAACGATCAGATCTTGGGAGTTAAAGGACTAAAAAAGGTGGTCAGAATGCTTCTAAACCTGAATTCATTACAACCCTAGATTTTTGAGAGGTGACAACGTGAATGTGAAAGTGAAACATGTAACTCTAGTTTTCAATTTCTTACCTTTCCTGTGGCATATTGATCAACCACAGGACCATGGAGACACTGTGTGCAGTTGACAATTAATACACCTCGGCGAGTAGCTTTCTTTATCTCAGAAATAATGTCCTCACGGTTGTTAGGTGCATTTCCACACCCATACGTCTGCAGGACCACACCCAGCATGGGTGGTTTTAAAAATGCTTGCACCTGAGGAAGAGAAATGAAATAAAAAAGGCAGTCATCAATCTAACACTTATGTGCATGTGTATGAAATATGTACATGACTTTGTGTATATTTGAGCACCAAAGATTGTTGATGGGAATTCCATGATTACTGTCATTACTTACAGTTTCAGATGTAATCCCTGGAAAGAGCCTAAGCAGTCCAATGTTGGGATTCATGTTAGAACAAACTGTGAACTTGTTAACACTGTTTGAACGGAATATTGCATCCCACTGCACTGCAAGAATTAAAGAAAGTTGCACAGGCATTGGAACATTGCAGTCAGAATGTAACATCATTAGACATAACATATTTGACCAAAGGTTTACAAAAAATCTGAATTTATGGAGTGGTTACCTCCTAGCGATTGAATTAAGGGATGTGGGAAATATGACTATGGACCACTTAGACAAGTATTTGTAAAAATTTTTAAAGAATTTCATTTATATTTTTGTATAAATCAGGTTGTCTGATAACTAGTTCTTAGCACCTCCAGAGAAATGACAACCGTATACTGCATTTTACAGATGAAAATGCACTTGCACTCAGCAATCTAATCAAAAACATTTCTGTCTATTTCCTTGAACAAAGGGAATGATTGACATTTTCATCACCATTTTCAAGGTAAGATGCATCTGAAAGATTCATTGATAACCATGTGACTCTAAGTGACAAGCATCTAATTTCCTTTACAACATCACCCCTGAATAAAACACTGAAGTCACAAGAATAAAGGAAATGATCACCAGCCAAAGAAGCTCATGACTGTTAAACAAGTTCTCTTTGTTGGCTCCTTAGGAAATGTATAGAGAACAGTATGGAGAATATGCATACTGATGTTACAGTTTTAAGGATTAGAAATGATTTTACCTTCAATGTTCACCTTCATGGTTACCAGGGGAGGAAGATTTGGGGAGGCAAAGGCATCAAAGCTCCCAGCACTCACTTTGGTGGAATGGTTACCCCGATATAAATATCCGGCAAAAAACAGAGTAACCTGGCATAGAAAAAACAAACTCAGTTCTCCCAACAAAAGAGAAATAAAAAAAGAGTAACATTTTAGAGATGTGCGCGCTCTTATTGGTTAAGGACTGCATCATATCTTGCTATTATCACCCAACGCAAGGTGATTATAGTGGGAGCCCTAATTTCAAAATGGCTGCCTTGCGTTTTGTCAATGTTACCAAGAAAGTGATGGACATGATAGAAGAAAATTCAATTCCATAGAGGGCAAAAGATGCTATTAAGTTTGGCATAACACTTTCAAAAGAAAGATGTATAGTTTTTGTTAATGGAATTAAATGAACCTGTTAAATTGTAGAGGAAACTCACTGCTATTTCAATATGAATAACTCTTTAAAACAATTGTAACAGAACTAACAATTTTAATTTATAAATTAAATGAATTTGCAACATAATTCAAAAGCACCAGCGCAGTTATACCAAAACAATTATTCAGCTCAGGCTCAGTGAAGATTCTTCGATAATCCCCTCAACTTTGTCTTAGGCATAATTCAACAATGTTCACTTTGCCTTTGGTGAATAATTGTTACACATTGATTTTGTCTCACATTTAAAACCTACAATTACCATTTAATGCTTCCACATTCTCCATAAGGATACAGTATTTTTATCAATAATTCAATGGTGCCTTGTTTACTAGTAGAGATTTCCTTTAACAGAGGCAAAGCTAAAAACAAACCTCAGGAATAATGTAGTGACCAGCAATGACCAATGCACCTAACAGGTTGTCACGACCATCATTTCTCTGCTCATAAATTGGAACCTTGGAAAATAAAAATTCAATAAGTAAACAAGTCATTGAAAGACAAACCTAGAGTATCACCATCCTTTCCATGCCCCTTGATGTTTGAAGGGTGGATAATTCCATCCACTGCAAAAATCTCGAAATGGTAGATAATGTAATAATATTTTTTTTAACACTTATCCACTGGATGCTCATTCATCTTTTGAATACAATCAATTGCCCTTTGAACAACTGGGCTCTGAACTGTTAGACTAAAAGATCAAAACTTAATTCTACCATCGTTACACTAAAGTTTCTATGCACAAAGAAAAAAATATACACACTAAAAACTTGACAGAATTTTCTGCAGACCTTCCCTCTCACTTTGCAAACTAACTGGTCAATGAAAATTTCAAAAGTGGGACATCTTACCTGTGAACCAGTGAAGATCACAGATTTCCCAAGGTTTTCCAGCATAAATGACAAAGCAGAAACACTGTAGGCCATTGTATCTGTTCCATGTATTACCACAAACCCATCATATCTACTGTAATTGTCTTTAATATCAAGTGCAATTTCCACCCAGTCTCCAATCGTCATGTTTGATGAGTCTTTGAGGGGAAAGTATTCTTTGATGTAATATAATACTCGCACTCCATGAGCTGATATGCTGTTTAAGTAATGGTACGCAACAAGTGAGTGTGCATGTTTGGAGAGCTTTTCTATGACATGCTAAAAGTGAAGCCTATCAGAAAACTAAAATAATTATAATTTTAAAAGGGGGAGGGGTGATTACATTTACACAAACTGCTGGTATATTTTTTTGGGTTTTTTTTTTAAGGATTTCCAGCTGTCATAAAAGTCTAACTACATGAATATACAATTAAGATAATTTTTTATCAGCTGCTGACATGTCACTCATTTTTCATTGTAAAGGCCTATGGTGCTCAAAGACATGCTTGCTTGTCACACTCGTTATCTGCATGGCTTATTTATCATTCTATATATAAACATATTGTTAATTTGAGTCTGGAAACCCATTGCCAATCCCCTGTTAACCATTTTATATGCCCACTTGAATAAATGTCTTTCTATTCCCATTTATGGCACTATATACTTTTGTCCACTGGACTAACATCATGTCAGAATATTTAAATAACGTGGCTAGCAAATTGAGAATCCAACAAAAGTAGAAATTTTGTACCTTGTGATATATGAAAAATATTACGGGAAATTTCAATAGTTTCATGAGAGAATTTTTCCATCAATAGAACAGTCCCTAATTTTAAGATTCTCAGAAGTTATTTTGTATCACCTTCAAATATAATTTCTAGCTGAGAAAACTAACTCCGGTAAAATTTCTGTGCGGAAATTTTACCCCAACTCCTCTCAGGTTGAAACATTGTCGATCTTAGAGTGACTCTTCAACTGAGCGTTGTCAAAACAATCGATGTGGTTTCAGCTGCGATACCGAACAAATTTAACGTTCAGAGGTTTAATCATTGACTTGGCTACGACGTGTATGCCTGAGCAAGTCACGCACGCATGTCGGTAAACAAATCGAACCCCAAAGATTAAGTAAACAATTTTAGGAGCTAAGTAAGCTTGATTAATATTGAGAGGCATCGTTGACATAGGTTTCAAAAAATTTGATTACGTTATGGTGCCCACTAAAAAAGGATGTATAGAAAATGATTTTGACTCCCGTTTGTCCACGCCGACATTTAAATTGGATGAAACAATTCTACAATGCCTCTATCGACTGTTGTTTCTCGATCATTGACATCACTGACAACACATCGAACACATCAGCAGGGTATGAAAACAAAACATTTATCACAAAAGCCCAAATCATTAAACAGCTGAACACGCAGACATGTATAAATAGACTTACGGCATTGCTAACTCTTCTAGCTGTGAAGTACTGGCAGCGTTGTCACAGCTGAAAGACTTAAGACTTCCTTTTGGTTCAATCTTTGTATAATCCTCATCATACAACATAGGAAGTCTCTTTATTTGCGTCTGAAGGTGGCCAGATTTCGGCTGATATCCTAAACAAAGTAAAACAAAGCATATTTAATTGTATCATTGGGTTATCATACGTTCAGTCTGACTACGTGAGACGCCAGGCAAAAGTTGAGGGCAATTATTCGACAGCCCTTTACCTCCATCTGTTTTCTTCATTCCAATCGTTCCGCCTGTGTATAAAACTAAAACTTTCGTTTCTCGAATTTGCTTTGGCAAGGTAGAGCTCTCCATAACTGAATCCCGTACACCTTCCCGGCTCCCGCGCGACTATATCACGCCCGCTTTGCATGACTGATGCATGCGTTTTTTTTTTCTGTCGCTTCGACCTTATTTCCTCATATCTTCCATTTTCATTTCTCGACAAAATTTCAACCACCGTATTATATTCTACAATATCAAGTATAACGAGATTATGGTAATATACCGACATAGGGAGTAATGTAATGATGAAAAAAATTGCAGAAAAGAGTTTGCAGTAAACGCTCTCTCAAATCTCAATAAATTATTTTTCGGGGGCGGATAGGGGGTGTGTGCGGGCCGAACCAATCGTTAATGGTATAAACTGCTGACCATCTTATGCTGCGCCGTCGTATGACAGGAAATCACAAACAAATATTTTTCAGGCCTAAGAACGTGGTCATTTATTTGACTCGGGTTTTGTTTTTTTATTTCCATTTTTTCCATATCAATTTTTTAATTTTTCGCCTACCACACAACGTGATCTGCTTGTGGTAAAGAGTCACTTCCACGAGCCTGTCAGGCGCCTTTCAAGTTGTGGCAGAATTAGCGTTCTGAAGAAGGAAAAACTCTCGAAACGTCAGCTTTGAAAGGCGAGAACTTGCGTGTAACCTAGGGGACTCTGAGAATAAGCTTAATGTTCCTTTGCCGCGCACAGACTATTAGAAAAATAGCTTTAGCTCTAGTGGCGCCACTCTTTGGAACAGACTTCCTCGTGACATAAGACAAGCAGAGTCCCTTGGGTTATTTAAGCGTTTAATTAAAGAAGTACGTTCAGGCACAGCACTCGTGGAAAGCAGCTTAAGTTAGGTTTGTGCTTTAAGTATAGCTTTTATAGTATCTTATCCATTTAATGCATGTTTATATATTTGAATGTTTTTATGGCTGATGAAGTGTCCGTGGGAAAATAAAGATTATCTATCTATCTATCTATCTATCTATCTATCTATCTATCTAGATGACACCCACACAACCCCTCATCGCCCATTCGAGAACGAAATAAGGGTTATTGATCATAATCCTTATTGTCGCACGTGCAAGGCAAAGGAAACAACTTCCGTGCGACCTCACCATAACATAACAACAGGGATAGCGGCGAATGAATCCTTAAATCATGAAAACAACCTCAAGTTTTGTAACAACGCCCAAGCTTTTTCAGCCTTTTCCGCGCTGAAATTTATAATTTCATCAACACGGCGCTAAAAATATTCTCGTTCCCTTTACCATCCCTTATTTCTATCCGTACCCACCCCTAAATGCCAGTGACACCTTGCAGTGGGAGCGTTGGGGAGTTGTCTCCTTAATCAACGAACGAGGGAGTCTATTAGTCAGTATTAACAAAATTTTCTTTTAGAAAAAATAATTTCTTACTGTAGCACACACTAATCATCTCTTTCAACTTAACCTTCTTCGCATTATTTCTTTTTTACCGTAGTCACGCAGGAGAGACGTGAGACAAATGTGAATCGCGCGTGGAACCCCATGTTTTCTCGCAACTCAAACTCCTCGCCGCGCGCTTGATTAGGAGGAAACAGAAAAGAATGCGACCAAGGCTACTTTTAACTCGTGACGATAACTCTTCTGTCGGTAGAAGTAAATGCACGGATTCAAAGCAGAGTTGGCCAAACCAAGCAACGCAGACCAGAAATGAAGCTCGTTGTACTCAATATATCTTGTGCTGATGATGGCCACTGGAAGCCAACAAAGGGAGAAGACAAACACAACCAAAGCTATCGTCTTCGCGACTTTCTTATTTCTTTCACGTATCTCTGCATGCATCTGTCTACCGCCTACGTTTATGTGCAAATCGTCTATTTTAAGAGAGGCACAACCAACTTTGACAAAAATGGCAATACCACTACTTACAATGGCGATATAACAGCACGCGACACCGAAGTTTTTCACACGCTTTAAGACTACAGACCATCGGCCTTGGCGTGGAACAACCACTTCTGGGATGGGAACTACCAGAGAAGCCAGCCAAATGAGTACGAGAACTGCTCTCAGTTTTGAGGACGTCATTTTAACTTTGTGATGAATGGGATGACAGATCGCCCAATACCGATCAAGACTCATGGACGATAAGATCAGCAATGAAGCCGTCGCTGAGCATCTGCCGAGAACAATCGCACCAAGCATTAAAGAACCGTTCCAAGAACATATCGGCACGAAGCCCTTTGTTATCACTGAGATGATCAGAGGAATTGTTACAACAGTGACAAGAAGATCAGCAATAGCTAAGTTCTGAATAAACACGCTACAATTATTGTTTAGGTTTGTCGTTCTACTAATCACAAGCAGAACCAGACCGTTGCCAAGAGAACCACCGATTGCCAAAATGCTGCACAGGGAAACGGCCACAACGATATCTGTTGTTGTGAGCGAAAAATCTTGGCATAAGGTTGTATTAGAAAGTCCATCCAGGGAACTGGTGTTGATCAAATCTTTGTTTCCACAGTCATTATTTCCTAAAGAGTGGTGATTTCCCAGAATAGTTGAGTTAAATTCCATAACTGCTCGGTTTTGAAAAAAATTGACCATTAAATTTGCCAAGTGCACGCTTGAGAAAAATTTCAGCTGAAAGTGTAAGACAGTAAAAGCAACTGCAATGCACAAGGTCATTCAATTTAAACCGATTCATCACAGGTCGTCGGGGAGATCGGAAATAATTTTATTAGTTAAGTGGCCGGATTTGTTTAACGCCCGTAACCGAGCACATTAGGAGGAACTGATTCTTGTCTCTGATTCTTAGCTCTTGACAAATCATATCATGTATTGTGATTTAAATCGACTGGTAGACGACCTTGACTCTCACTCGATCCTTCCACGAGGCTTTTCAAAGGAAACGAACGCCTCTTAATTCTGGCTTTTATGAAGCAAAAACATCCGTCTATCTTAATGAATGTTTTTTTCTAAACTACTAAAGAAGATAAGTTGAACTTGCCGGCAGAAATGTCGGAGGCAGGGAGCAATGCCTGCTTTGAATGCTTTTATCTCAAAGTTCTTTAATTTTTCCTGATGTAACGTCGTTGAAAAGGTATCGGTTTTGGTTCGGAGAAAAACTCCGTTTTTTTAATTTTTATTTTTTTTATTTAAAGATTTATTTTTTAACTGTGTTCCTTTTTTCTAAATGCTTCTTAAGAACATTTGTAAACTACAACCGAATTTCCATTACATACCTCAGGGGAGCAATATCTCTATGCGCCTACCAAAACACTATCAGAGTGTTGTTGTATTCCGTCTTCTATTCTAACCGCGTTGAAAAAGTTGTGCTTTGATGAACAGAGATCCTGTATGCATACAAAAAAAGAAAAACATGCTTTACGGACACCTGGAGACATCCTTTCACGCTGTTTTGTAAAAGTAAAAAAAAGGATCGTATCCGAATCTTTAATTTGTGAATTGTCAGCGTGTAACGCTTTCCTTTTATCTGTTGAATAGGAAATTAAAGTTGCAAGAGTTATTGTTTATTCCCCTGAAAAAAAAAAAAGACGTTTTATTCAGTTCACAGAAGGCGTCTTATTGACTGATCAAAGCGAAGACATCTGGTAAGTACACGCAAAGTTTTACAAATTTCGTTATTCCCTCTGACAGGTGTCAATCAATTCAACATGTTATTTTCATGGGATGACATTTTAGGGATCCTCCCAAACATGTGAAACTGGAAGCTACAACCTGAAAGCAATTTCTTTTGAATTTTTTTTTTCTCTAATACAATAATTTAACTCTATATCAACAGTTTTTATCAAAATTATTTCTGACAGCTCTTTCTGACAACTTTCAGCGTGAAAATTGCGTCAAGACGACACCGAAAGGTCGATCACTCATCTCTTATGCTGGTTCACAGCGAACTGCCTCTCACGGTTATTTTGGTCATTTACATATATATATATATATAATATATATAAGTAACCGTGAGAGGCAGTTCGCTGTGGACCAGCATAAGAGATGAGTGATCGACCTTTCAGTGTCTATATATATATATAAACCAACGAAAGTATCACTTAAAAAGAAAAATAATAAATCTATCGGTGTATTTACTTTCTGAACATCGGTTCTTTCAGAACTTGTAGGCAACCTTGAGTTGAATTGAGCGCAAAAATAGTGCGGTCATTTTATTTTTTCCTATTTCGTGCTTTTATGCTTCACGGCCGAATGGCCCTTGGTTTCGTCTGAAACGTTACTTTAAAAATCATTTTAAACAATCTTCTGAAGACTACTTCGGACAATTTTTAATAACACTACCAAGCACAAACGTAAATGAATTATTTACTGTGTTAATCTTTAGCCTAAAAATTAAATATCCTCAAAATAACGTTTCGAAGAGATTGTCATCTTTTTAAAGTTATTTTTTATAAGAGTGACATCTGCAACATCACTTTATATTCTTTGGAACATAATCCAAAACTTTGCAATTTAATTGTCAATGGAACCGTGCGTTAAAAAAAAATTTCAGGCTAGATTCAAATATATTGCTTGTGGGTTTTCGGGTAGCTGTGAAGAATTGATCGTTTAAGTGTAGTTAGATCATTTTAGGAATGGAGAAAAATAGAGTGCTTTTCGGCTGAGTGTTGTGAAACCACTACTAGAGTGATCACGAAAGCCAATTAGAAGACAATACCCATAAGAGCCAATTAAAACACAGAGTTAAAACAATCAAACTGCCTAAAGCGCGGGAAAACGCGGGCGGTCAAGTCGTTTTAGTTTTGCATCTGATTGGTTTAGAAAGTGGCAAGAAGTTTCTGGACCAATCATAGAGCGAAGTAAAGCAATACCATTACAAACATGGATTACTTTCGACACTCAATTGAAAATTGGTCTGAACTGAGAATTAGAAACTGGAAGTGAATAACCTCTAACTTTTCCTATCACTTTCAAATTACTATCCCGCCAAAAGGTTATGGGAGTCCTCAAACTTAACATCGCTAAACAGGTGTTACCTTTATGCAACACTCATTTATCTGAACTTGTTCATAGCTAGATGTGTTGGAGCTAGTTAGATGCACCTCGTTTACATCTGAGCAAAGATTTTAGCGCTTTGCGGTAGTTTGGCTGCCGACAGAAATAAATCCACGGGTTTACTGTTGAGTTAGCGAGTCCCACTGTAGCAAACCAGAAATAGATTCTATCATTCCTGTCCTCACTGATCTCAATACCCGTAAGATACGCGAACGGGATCCAACACAGGGTGAAGACGACTACAACGAGTGCAATCGTCTTGGCGACTTGTTTGTTCCTCTGGCTCAAATCTGCGGCGAGGCGAGATGTTCCTTGATCCTGATGAAGTGATCGTATTTGTCTTGAATTAGCGCGAACATTCCTGATTGTAAAAATACCGCTGACGATTATGATCGAATACGAGCAAGCCAATCCAATGACCTGAAGAAATTTGGCGAGGGCTGATCCGGTATAGAACGTCTCTAAAAGAGGGAGGGTCAAAGATTTTATCCATGTCATTGCGATGGCTATCTTTGCTTTTGATACAGTTACAATCGTTTTGTGTTTCATCGGATGGCAGATGGCAAAACAGCGATCCACACTGAGGGTAGTTAGCGTCAGTAGCGAGGAACTGGCAGAGAAAAGTGCTATTACCCAGGCAGCGAAATTCGGAGCATGGATTATGCATTTATCAAAAAACCCTTGAATTAGGATATACACTATAAGAGGCATTACTACTGCTGTCACCATCAAATCAGACACAGCGACATTTGCTATTAAAATTCCGCACACGTTCCTCAAAGTTGGTGTCCGGTGGATAGCAAGAATCATGAATATGTTTCCCAACGATCCGACGATGGTAAGCGAGGTGTACAAAACCGTTGTCACGATTTCACCAGCGAATCCGAGTGGGAGTTTGCAAAGAGACTCCTCATCTGAAGTCGCCATGTTGTGTTTGAAACATCCGCTCAGTAGACACGTACGGGAAGTTTTATAATTTTTTTTCCTCTCTGGCAAAGATCAATAAATCATCTGTTATGTTAATAGCCTGTAAACTATCGCTAACAATTTAATCTCATCATTTTTAATATGGTGAGGTTAATGGAAACAAAAGTACTAATTAAAAAATCGACCAATATTTACTCTGAGAACATATGATATTGGAATACAGATGTGCTCGAATGCTAAATATAGGGGTCAAAACTCTCCTTATTTGGACTTGTGGAGGCAACATTGCATTGAATTGAACGAAATATAAAAACTTGCCGTCGGTGCTTCCGTTCTAAATGCAAAACAACGCAAATTGAAATAGTTACAGACAGAAGTTTCGCAAACAATGCCAAAAAAGACTTTCACGCGAGCTCGGCTAATGGCATAGTCGTTTTAATTTTACAATTTCATCCCTTTTTGGTTGACATCGCCTGCTTTTGTGGATGGTTGGTTACCCGTGGCCATTTATGACAGCCGAACATTACTTTTTAAAACATTAATACAATCTCCTACAGACGACCTCAGACAATTTTTTTCTAATCCTTATGAACTTGAGATTTAAGGCGTCACCACCATGCGCAAACATCAATGAATTATTCATTACGTTGGTAGTTAGCGGCAATTGCGTTAACTATCCTTAAATATAGAAAAGTCGGTTTGATAATGTTTCGAAGAAGTCGTTATCTTTTCAAAGTCATTTTATTAAGAGTAACATCTGCAGGATAGTTTCAATTTCACTCAGTGGGCTATATCAAGAACTTTTGCGGAGTTTGTCACTGCAACCGTTCATGTTGGTAACTTAGTCTAGATGGAAAGGTTTACAGTCAAGTCGCCCGAAAGTCACGTAGCCCGAAACCTGAGTCATGTTGCCCGACATTTTAGTAATGTCGTCCGAAAAAAAAAGTCAAGTCGCC